CACCTATTTTTTCTGGCAACATAACAAATTATTTAGAGTTTCTGTGTTACAAAATGATACAAAACAGAAAAATGTTATACTTTAAAGACCATCATTAACACACTTTAAAGTCATTGTTAACAATAAAACAGTGTAACAACCAGATGATAATATTTACAAATCAGTAATAACATATAACCTGTTACTTTGTATGATATTAGTCAGGTTTGTGTAATTTAGCATACCTCAGACTTTTCCCTTCTTAAAGAATGGCCTTGTGACAGCCAGCGTTCCACTGAGACCAACATAAGGATCAGGTCCTGGGTCAAGTTTTTGCTGAATAATTTCCTGTTTATTAATAACATGACTTTCAGACTGTTTGTCCTTTTTAGGCCTGCCACTTCTTGTTTTGTCTCGACTTGTCCACTTTTCATTTCAAAAACCCTGAAAATGCCCCTGTCCAACAGCCAAGGGAAGTTCATACAGGTAGATTCTTGACATTGAGGTTACTGTGTGCAGAACTGATTGCCAAAAAATTAACACTTTCTCCTTTAAGTTAAACCAGACCTAAAAACAGTTGTTGTGAAGTGATGGGACACAAGTGAGGAGTATTTCCTACTGTACATACCTGTATCAGCGAGCTTTTCTTCAGACAGGAAATCCGAGCTTGCACTTACACACAGAAACCTGTAGGTGGAGACAAAGACAAAGCAGAGAGATTAAATTCCACACAGTGTGGGTCGTCTATTAGTCTGTGTGATTTTGCTGTCTGAGTTGTGGTTTACTTTGCACACACAAAACCACACACACACACACACACAGATATTTTAAACCGTCTGTCTATCATGTAATAAAGGAAGACCCACATGCAATCATATCCCATATTTATAATTGGACGACCGTGTGCCATAAAATAAATACACATATATAACAAAGTGCATTTCCCATAGTGTGATTGGAAGGTTTGATGTGTTCATCTTCAGTTTTGCTTTTCACTGTTTCAGTGTGTAATTACAGGATGTCAGTTCTTTATGCTTCAGCTGTGAAATTCAATATTCACTAAAAAAAGAAAAAAGAAAAACAAATCGATGAACTCATCAATGATTCAAACACAGACCATTAGCAGGCTACAGCAAAGCACACACATACAGTTGTATCCTGTTGACAGCAGTGGGGCTTGTGTGTGTTTGTGCAGAAAAGAAATCACGAGAGACTAACAATTTGTACAGCAGCTGTCAGCACTTTGACTGATGCCAAACTCCCAACAAAGGCTGTTTACCAGAGCAGCAGGCCATAGACTTTGTGGATCAAGACCTTGATCAATAATTGATATGGTTCTAAATAAAGAGCAAAGACAGACAACAATGATTGCTATTTATAAATCCTTTGCTTGGATCAATATCCACTCACAGGTGGGGGTGTTACTTGAAAAATCTGGATTTGTAGGTTTTGTACCTATAAGCTGAAAATTATGATTGAGTCTTTTAATTTGTAATGGTTAGGTGATCAAAGAAAGCATGAAATCAACTGTAAATTTAAGGGCAAAAAGTAGAAGGACTGGGAAATGACAAGAAAAAGGACATAATGGAAAAGGTGCTGACAGAGAAAAGGTAGGAAAAAGAAAGGAAAGGAAACAAAATGGGAGCAGACAAGCTGTAAGGGAAGCGAAAGGTATTACAGGAAATAAAAGGGGAAGTTACAAGATCTACAATATGAAAGAGAGCAAGAGACAGAAGGAGTTTTTAAAAAAGGAAGAAAGACCAGGCAGAAAGGAAGGGTGTGTAAAATGTCTGTGTGTGAGCTGTGAAAACTGTAAATAACATTTAGAATTTGAGGTGTTGGGCAGGAGATTATATGTGATACAGTTCTGTGGTTGCACGTGTGCTTTAGACATTCTGAGACTTTAGCTGATTACAAGACTTTTCAAACCAGAGGAGACGAATTGTAAAAAAAAAAAAAAAAAAAAAAAAAAAAAA